TATCCTGGGGCCTCCTAACAGTTATGGTAGGAGGAAAACCTCCAATGTAGGGACACCCAGGAAGAATCCTAATCAGATACCAGAACCACCCCCACTGGTTCCTTTTGATGAGAAGGAGCAGTAGTGTTGGTTCACCCTCGTTCTAATGCAGCGACAAGCATGAGATCGCTCACTGGTTTCACACTGCGCTACAAGCAGCAGTAGCAGTGGTGGACGGGAACTTTATCCCTGTGTCACCCATCAGCCATGGATTAGTCTGTCTATCCTCTAAAGATAGACCTGTTTTCAGTAAATGCAGAAGGTACTTCTGTTGAAAGGACATAGGTGTACATTCAGTAGCAAATGCTGATGAAGCAAAATGTCATTATACCACCACACAGACTCCTCGAGAGGAGATCAGGGTAATTACCTTTAACACCACAGAGCAGCTCCCCTACTAAAAGCCAGTGTCGGTTTCTTTAAACCCTGAAGATGACATTTTGCAAGTCTTTAAGTAATTATGAGAGCTAGTTTTAGCAGGTGCAGTGCGCATGCTGTAATTTTAATATTTCGGTGTTAATAAGCAGAAAATTACACGAGAAATGTAGTGAAACAGTCAAAGCGTCAGTCACTACTGTGTGGCCTGGTATTACTCATGTTGTGGGGACATAAATCTGTTCACACAGTCACACTGTGGGGACTCAAACTCCTTATGGAGACAAAAAGCAGGTAAATCGTTCCACTTTACAATGATGACTTGGTTTAAGGTCAGGGTAGGTCTCCAGGAAATGAATCTAAGTGAATATAATGTCACCCAAAGAGATGGAAACACATCATATGTATGTATGTGTGACAGGAAGAGAGAGAGATAAAGAGAGAGTGTGTCTGAGTGTGCTTCAGCTGTTGAATAATAAATCGGAGATGAAATCGAGTCTGGGTTTGACTGTCCCTCTGCGTTCAGCCTTGCTCTTCTTCTACTCTGAGTGTAAATATCAGAGGCTTTAAAAGCTGAACAGACTCTCGGGATAAACTCTCCAAGGTTATTGTAGTTTCTCTAGTTTAGCTTCAGTTTCCCCTCTGCTTTTAAGATCAGCGCCAAGCTTTCACAAAGGAAAAGATTGAATGTGGTGGTTATTTGAAGTTTAGTCACAGTGTTTGAACACTGACGTCTGTGGTTTGAACCTGTTGTGCAAACACATTGACAGAATATTTTCACTGTGATTAGGCTGTAGATTGTTCTATCGACTGTTGATCAAAGCAGATTAATTACTACACATTCTCTCTGTTGTGATGTGACATGCAGTCTACAGTACTTATACAAGCTGACTTATAGCCTTGAAACTTTATTAATATATAGTCGGTCTTGTTTTTACTCAGGACAGACGTGAAGCTGTGTTGTGGATGTTGTAACACAGATTGTGATTCTTTGTGTCTTTCTGTTGAAGGCTCAGAAGTTGAAATCAAACTCAACCGCTGATGGTGTCTTCTGTGTGGTAAGTCTGCTGCCAAATGTGTCATAAAAATACATTTGGTGAATTTCATAACATAATACTGATGAATACTGAACTGCATTTGGATACGTTGGTGGTATAGAGGAACGCTCGGCTAAGAACACTGTCATTACTTTGAGACAAATGTCACACCCTGTACATGACTTGTGTTGGGAGGTGAAACCTCAAATCATTTCTCAGTTTTATCTCAAAAAACATTTTTATTTAAGACCAAAAGGCAACTGTTATCAACTCATCACAGACCTTGACCGACCTCCTTGTTGGAAGTCTCTGACCTCCCTGTGACAGTGACTGCCACAGCAATACCTCCTGCCTCCTTTGTAAACGCCTGTTCTTTGTAGTTCCTTTGAGGCTGAAATGGGATTGTTGCTTATCTGGTGGCTTTTAAAGTTCACTGTAAATGTCAGTGTACAATAATAAGGCACTGTTCTGCACTGGACTGACATTTAATAGAGGCAGGGACAGGTCTAGAGGAGGTGACCCAGCCGTTAGCTCGTGCCTCTATTAGCAAGCCAAAGGCCCCTGGTGAAGCTCTGTATATGCATACTTACACATGGTGGCACATGCAAATGCACACACATGCACGCAGATGTACTTTTTAGCTGTCCACTGTGACATTTCACTTATAAAAACAGCCTTTTGATTTTTCACTGGCATACAGTACCACATGACTACATTTAAGAGTTTTTAAAGGTGATAGAATTGAGTTAAACAGTCTAAGGTCTTCCACATCTCACGTGCATGAATTAAACCACCTTATCTTCCAGCGGTGTGTAAGGTTCTTGTATTGGCAAACAAGCCCCTGTGGTTTTTGAAATTAAACTGCTTTCTACAGTGTGTGATGTATGACTAAATTAAAACCTGAGTAGAGAAATGACAATCACACTTCGCTTGAAATGCTCGGCAGCTGTTTATGTTATTGTATTTTTCCGGTGGTCATCATTTATCAAGCTGCCATGAAGAAGATCCCAGAGTCTGCAATGGATCTGATCCAGAGACACCTGCCACCACTGACTGATTAATCTTTCTTAATCCGCAATCTGGACATTTGGATGGGAAAGCAGTTGTAGAACAACCAGTAGCTTCCTTGAGGAAGAGGGAACAGATGATGTCTAGGCTATATACACTGAATTCAGCACAGCATTGGTAGGAAAAGTCTGTAAATGACAAGACTCGTAATGTTAATGTGAGTCTCTGTTTTTGTCTTCTTGCAGCAGAAACTAACTTTTGGTGTGTCCCACACCTGGGAATCAGGAATAAAACTAGTCTGGACCAGTCTGACAGTTTTTAAAAATAACTGATAAGACGCTGAAAAGGAGCAGTGGGGCTGTTTTTTCTTTCTTCACCAGACTAAGCTTTGCATCTCCCCTGTCTCTCTCTCAGGACCCTCACATAGACGGGCCAAGTACGTCCAACGCCATCCAGAGCAACGCGGCCGTCTCCAGGCAGCCCGCGCCCCTGGCCCTGTTCCTGCCCCTGCTGCTCTGGCTGTGGTGCTGCATCCTGCCGGCGCTCTCCTCACCGGGCAACTTGTAGCCTCGCTACTTAACAACAACAAACTACACAGGACTGACAAACACACATTTGTATAAAAGAAAAAGCAAAACAAGAAATTATATCCTTTCTTCTTGGTAATACCTGTGGTACTATTATTTCCTTTTGGATTCTGTCTTACCTTTGATTCATACTTTGTGGTTTTTTTATGAATTTTTTTGGAAACTCTGTTGTTGTATTGTTCATTTGTTTGTTTTTTGCGTTGCAGTTTTGTGCTAAAACAGTGATACATGAGAACAGTTTTCTTTGTTTTCTCTTGAAAAAGGGAGTAAAAGCTTTGTGTTGCTCACTTGGGCAAAAATAAGCAAACACTTGAGGACTACATTCCTATAAACCACAGCCGGTGTCTCTTGGAACAGTAAACACACAATGTAAATTAGCACTGATTTTCAGTCGTCACATCAGTTGTCGCCCCCGTCTGTCTGTGTGTTGAGGCTATAGGTGGGATCTTTTGCTTAAAAGTCACAGTCAGTTCAGTAACGGCTACATGTGATCACACAGGCAGTCTTTTGGTGTTATTCTGTCTCCTTTGTGATTTGTGTTTGTGTGTTTTGATAATGCCATGATTAGGTGTTTTACACTTATATGAGCCAAATGAAAGGTCCACGAGTATTTACCTGACAAAGCCTTTTGTTTCGGGGGAGAACTGATCATTCAAAACGATAAGTTGGAACATCCCAAACTGTCTTTACTGTAGCTCATACTGAACACATGTTGCTGCTGGCAAAAGCACACAGGCAAAGACCCACAAACACACACTGCACATGTTCACACATTCAGACAAACACACTCATTTTGCCAACAGGGTGATACTGAGAGATCACAGGACAGTAGGTTATACACTGCATCCACTGCACTTATTAGTGACTGTACATACTTGTAATTGTTAGAAGTCCAAGCCACGTTCAGTATTTCTCCTATTTCTTTGTTTTGTTTATGGGTTTTTTGTTTGTTTGTTTTGTTTTCTTGTTGGTTTTTCAGGTTTGATGTATTTCACTGCACTGTGTTTACAAAAACAGACGAGAGCTGTGGAGAAAACCTATATTCAACAGCAACTCATGCCGCCTTCGCTCCAAAGCTGGAAGCATCCTGTTCTGTCAGCTCGCTGTTATGACTTAATGGCCTCAGTTGTGAAACTGTCAAAATGTGTTTGGAGAAGGAGTGACCACTTTCAACTGGCCATTTGCTGAGCTCTACCTCGCTGAGATACTCTCGCTACACCTGTCAAGCTTTGTATTCTAGCATAGCATTTATGAAGTTCTCCATAATAACTGTGGCATTGTTGCCACTCAAAATTTTATCAAGCTACTTTCATTTTCTAATGATTATAGCTGACTTGAAAATGAATGCAGTGAATAAGGTTTTTTGTTCTGCACCACTGAATAAGTCTGAAACTGACAGTACTGTAGGCCCCAGGCAAACTGTTAGCATCCTCACCAGTTGTTGTACAATACATGGAAATAAAGCTACATTGTCATGTCACAGGCTAAAACTAGTTAGCATGACAGCATAGAGCATATGAAAATATGAAAGTACAACAGGTCGTGTTGAATGTTGAGACGGGGCACCAAATTGTTTGGATCTCACTTTTCTGACTGGTAATTCAGAATGGATAATGTCAGCTGACTGTAGCTAACTTGTAGTGGACCTAGAGATCCTGTCGATGGGAGCAACACTCTGCAGCCTGATCTCAGCTCTTGGTTCGGGAGCTAACACTAGCTAGCTGCTGTTGGCAGATGACACAAACACTGTAGATTAATCCATGTCTGTCTTGTCTGTGCTCAAACCGAACAGTGAAGTGGACATTTGGGCGTAGTGGAAGCACCTGCTACTGTATGTAGCTATATGGGATAGTATTTTTTTATTAAGATATAGATGTATAAAGGTACAGTATCTATGATTGATAATGAGTGTAATGCTCTCAAATTGGAGCATTTACCCAAAATTCAACAATAATGGCAACTTAACATTCTCTATTATGATAAAAAAAATGCAAGCTAAGAATGTTATTGTTTTTATAGAAAAACATACTTTGACTAGCAACACAAATGATCACCAATGAGTCACAAACCAACATCCCCGACCCTGACAAACAGCAGGATAGAGCCGCTAACACTTTGATAGGGTAACGAGTCCTGAATGGGTAACCAACAAAACAATGGAGCTAGCTATTTAACTGTTGCTCTACCTTAGAAGAAATGCTGTCTGTACCTGTAAGTAGTAAGTGAGGCATGCTAACAGTAGCAACTTGTCAGATAAACTCAGTTCAATTTGTTCTTTCCAGTCTTGCATTTTTGTTTTGTAAAGTTATTAAAAAATGGCACCACCCTTCCAACTTTTTGTACATACAGTATGTACTGCATCATGCACATCACTACAGGTGTTCAAAAGACTCCAAAGCCTGACAGATGTGCTGTGCCTATAACTGGACTGTTGCAGTTTGAGGGAAGAGTTTAACAAATGGTCAATCTTCTGGTTTGTTGAAACCATCACTAGCAAACACATGACATGTGACTTATGTACTATATGTGCATTGTTCAAGCATTTTCTTTGTCTGTTCCTGAGGACTGCTGCCAGAATACAGAAAGCCACAGCATCGCAGTAAGTTGTGGTAGATCAGTTGTTGTGAGGTTTTGAACCCACCCAACAAGAAGTCCGGGCTTTTAATCTGACCAAACGTCTGTGCAACACATGATCAGGAACTTCGTGTACATCACTGTGGCATGTTACTTTAGCCATCTGGACACTGACAGGAGCATTTATGACACACTGCTTGGTTTTATGTAGCTTCTCAAAACATGCTTAATGTATAGTTAAATGTTATTCACCAAGCATAAACATGGTATATGCACTGTATGTACTTGGCTGAAACTACGAATTGGACAAATAAATGTCTGACGATATTCTATTCCAGAGCATTGTGAGCTATTTTGACATTGAATAAGCCAGAATATTGTTTTATAACAACTTATTGTATATGTTTATTTCTCCCAATATGTACATGATTGTGGATATTATTGCATCAGAGAAAGACGATATCAGTGTTGTAGTTAAACACAGCTATTTGCTGAACACACTGTTTTGTACCATAGCCCCATTTATTTGATTTTTTGGCTAAGATTTGAACTTATTTTTCTATCTTTTACTGATTTTAGCAGTTTTGATGAGTTGAAGTGAATGAGCTGGATCGGCCACAGCTCAGATGTGAATCGCTCTTCTTGTCGAGACTGTTGAGTGCTGTGCAATAATTACTTTGGTTTTACCACTGAAATAGTTATAGTCACAGTACCAGGGAGTTGTGCAAGAAAGAGAATTGTCATTGCATGGTTATTGGGAAGGAAATAAGTCAGTGTTTAAGGCTAAATATATTCTATAACATACTATTAAAGATTTTTTATAGTATATTTGACCAGAGATGAGCAAGTGAGTGAAGTCCCACAGACTGAATGTGTGCAGCTTCAAAGGACAGTTAAATCAAAATGTTAAATTGCTATATGGCAAAAGGTCTTAGGGGGACTGGATACATTTCTTAGAATTGTGTCTTACAGTATGTGTGATCATTTTTTTTTTAATCCCAGTGTTGTGTCATCATGGGGCCTGGAACAGGAGCTGAAGTCTAGAGGTGGTTCGGTGCTTCCTCGCTCTGTGAAGAGTTCCTCTGAGTTCAGAGGGCCTCAGAACTCGAGTCCCTTCCTCCTGATGTTAGGATCCCACCAAAAAAAGATGGTGAATATGTTTTGCCATCAACCTCCTAAAAATACGAGAAATGTTTTGGTTTTTTTCTGGATGTGCAGACTCTCTCGGCAATCTGGCATTAAGTTCTTAGCTTGTGAAAATGTAAAATCTATTGTACAAAAGATAATTAAAAACTGCTAAATCACACAGACTGTTTGAATGTGGCGTTATTTCAATGAACAATAACAGAAGGAACCAAACCTACAGACACCTGGGAAAGACAGACGAAAGAAGGTGTGAGGTCATCAGAGGTCATCCTCTGGAGTTAATGCTGAGCACAGGTCACCAAGCCAAAGGCAACATGAGGAGCAAAAAGATGAGATGGGATTAAAAACAAGTCATCTGAGGCCTCTGGCAGATTTATAGCTTTGACCAGCCATGAGGGGAGGGGTCAGTGGTGCTGTTATCCAGTGCAGCATGGCAAGAAACAAACATAAGACACAAGCTGACACAAGCACCTGTGAGCAGCTGGCTCATGAGTCCATTTTGGTTTGTGCTGTAGGAACACTTTCTGAGCTAGAAATCAATTCTCATCCAATTTAGCACTTGCAAAGCAAACAACCACATTATAGAACAAGAAAGTGATGGCGAGTGTCACCTGCTAAACCAGTTTCACCTTTTTCCAGCACTGCAGGAAAATAATAGACTGACAATCAGTTAATCAAAATATGAAAGCGCAGATCAATGACAGACACAGTGGCCTGGCTATTTATTACTCCTGGAGCAGCCTGGGATCAATATTTCCTATAACTACCATATAACTAAATTAATGAAACTGTGTTTTTACATGACACTTTGTCAGATCACTGAGCGCCGTTGACTCTCACATTAACCGTCCATTGCTCTGGGACTTGATGCTGCTCATGTGTCTCCAGACTGTGGGACAAACTCCCTGAAGACTGAAACATTACCCCTCATCTACAACCTTTAAAACAAAACTTGAAACGTATCTTTTCATTTGTATCAAAAGGTATAATATTTTCAGGACCTGTCTTCTAGAGAACGTCTTAACGTAGGTGTAAACATGGCTTCAGTGGCTGTACATTCACTGTACCAAGAGTAAATACAGCACCTGATCAGCACAGCTGTCTAGTGAAGTAAATCAAACACACCCAAGCTGTTGCGCAGGCGCCAGGTGCGTGCTGTACCTGGCTGATGCTAATGGCGGTTCATTTATGTTCTTCCGGTGTGCGCGCGACCCCCTTTTTTGGTTTTCACCTCGTTTGTGTTTGAGAAGCCCAGTGGAAACAAACGGATGGTTTTTTTATACTGACAGCAGTGAAATGGATTTAAGGCCGATTTGGAAGAGTTCATGGTGCACGCGCGCACACAGGTGAGTACAGCAACACGTTTTAATTCACTTTGTGGAACATAGACAACAGTCAGAACAAACGTGGTGTGAAGCTGCTGTGGCTGAGATTGGCGCTGGTTTCTAGGCCGCAGGAAGACGTGCACGGTGCACGGTGTCAGTGACCGTGTTTGTTTGTTGTTGAATGGCGGGAGTTTTGTCACATTTCCAGGTTAATTGTAGTAGGACTATAGGAGGTAGCAGACTGTATAGCAGTTTATATATTAAAAGAGACTCAGTTGTGAGCGTAGTCGACCAACCTGCCTCCTGTTTGTCTGAGACCTGGCTGACTGATCCACTGATCCACTGATCCACCAGTGTTTTGTATAACTCATGTTGTGGAATGAGAGAATTCACCTGCACAAAGTGGCTCTGCTATAAGTTCCCTTAACTTACCCAATAAAATATTGCCATTTGTGGTGATGGTATAAAAACCGAATTTCACTGCTGTATTGGACCAAAATCTTTGTTTCAGTTTTTTAAACAAATTTAGTGCTGAAAAATAACTTCCAAGTGCCACAGTTGTGTACTGTGGTCCAAGGTGTACACAGTATGGCAGTGATGTTATTAAAGGCCCCGGGTAGGCACGAAGAGCATCTACTGAATCATTTTTGAGATATGTGAAACATTAATATAAAAGAGAAAAGAAAGCCAATGTTTGCACGTCATTGTCATCAGAAAATGAGTCTGACATTTCAGCATACTGTACTTCTCCATTATGTTCCAACACAGCCATTAGACCTAATGCATCCAACCCTAATACAGTAACCACATTTGCCAACAACACAGTCAATTAGAATGCAGCTGCTGCAAAAGGCTGTGCACAACAAGATCTGAGTCATCATTCAACAAGTACATTTAACTCTGTGAAACTTGAGTACGTATTTATGATGAATTGTATGTTGATGTGTGAGTAAAGTTTTAAATCCAGACCGTTCACTTTTAATAGAGTGCTGTTGCTCACTGTGGTGTTGGTTTGTTGTGTTTACATTTCGAACCGGTCCAGTTCATATGTGGACCTGAAGACCGCAAACGGGAGAACATTGAATCAAGGAAAATGTTAAAAGGTTCATTTGCTCATTTTTAATCTATGAACGATCAAACAGGGACCTGCAGGTTTCAGCCCAACCACCAGGTGATTTTCAGTCCTGGTTAATCAAAGAAAAGCAGCATATCTTCACCTGTCAGAAGCACGAGTTGTTGATGTGTTGAATTCTGAATCCTCCTGATTAGTGTGCTGTTGATCAGCTAATCAAGTGTTTCATCTCTACTGTAGTGACCAGTTTATTAGGTACACCTTGCAAAAACTGTCTTAATCAACAGCAAATCGTCCTGTCAGGACAGCTGTCGGCACATTTTCTGTTACCAATAATAGGTGTGATGGGGGAGGAAGAGGGTTAATTATGTGTTTGGACTGAGGAGGGATGAGGTGACAGTAATAAGTAGCCTACAGTACATTTAATGAAAACGTACAGTAAAAGCATTGTGACTTAGTTGATTAAAGAATTTCAATTAAAATCATTGAACTAGGAACAGAGTCAAACAATGCAGCCTCTGAGGGCACTCCCTCCCTCCTCATTGCAAAATAAACCTCATAGTGTCACACAGATTAACAATACAGCCACACAACAGAACTGTAAAGACAGCTATCAAATATTATGTCTGCAGAATGTGAGGAACTGGACCTTTATTAGCAGGCTGAGCAGTGAGAGTCTTGAACTGGACTAAAATGAGCTTTATTTCTTTCTTTCCCTCCTTACCAAGACATTTAGGATGGTAACTGCCTCATGAACATTTTATTTCCTTGCAGTAAGAGAGGTTATTGGAACCCATTTCCAATGCAAATCAACATGAACTTCATAAAATCAAGTTTCATTATCCAGGAACCTGCCAAAGATCATATCAGCTGGAAACAGGATGGATTCTCAGTGTCGCTTGTTTTAAGACAGGGAAGGTGTTAGAAATCACCTGTAGACAGAACAGTTTTGATAATGAATGACTTGATTGGTTTGTTGTTGCAGAGTAGCTCAGTTCACTTAGTTCACAGTGTAAGTCTAAATGCTCATTATTACTTGAGTTCATTTTTAAATATCTGCTTCACTTAGTTCACAGTGTAAGTCTAAACGCTCATTTTTAAATATCTGTTACACTTTGCACCACAGGAGGCTCATGCAGATGTGCACAGTAACCAGATTAACGGTATGGTGAAGCTAGTTGGTTGTCAGTTGACAGAGAAGAAGTGTTTGTTGCAGCTGTGCAGTCTGTTGATGTGAGGCGACACAGGTGAAAGCTGAGACTGAGGATTCTGTTACACTGCCACAGATCAGGGTTAGGAATATGTGACAGCTGCTCAGATCAGAGTTGAAATGTTTAGATTATACGAACCTTTCTATGATAAGGCTTTAGAACCGCTTAACCAACAAAACCAGTTGCTTCCACTTTCTTATGGGAGCACTGACTGCAGCATCAACTTTTCTTCAGGAGAGGTGATGAACAAAACTGAACTAGCCATGTCTTTGTAACTGACCCACAGGCTGCTCACACTCATAACAAGCCTCATGACATAATACTTTTATAGTTTGTCAAGCCCAAAGCTGTATTCATTATCGGACAGTTTGTAAGAGGAGGTTGTAAAACTTCCCATAAACACACTGGGTCTCCAGACGCCACTTTGAATTAACATCTATTAATGCATCACAAGGGAATCGATGCGACACAGTAAACTCCTGTGTGGCCAATTCATGTCACTGTGACAAATAGGTTGTGAATACTAATAGATGTGTTTGTCATAATCATCTTTGCTTCTTTACAGTTATAGTTTAATTAGGGAGGTTGTTTACAACTCTAATGACTGCACTTAGCAGCAGTCGCAGGATCAGTAACGACGTTTGTTTGACAGTAAAAAATAATGGATTTTGGGGACTATTTTTAGCGGCGGATGAATCTGTATGTGGTCTCTAGTGAGTAACAGGGGCAGCAGGATGATGAACTACAGTGTGTGTTCATGGTAACGAAGGATCCTGTCATCCAGAGCGACGGTGTGACTCACTGGTGGGTTGTTATTGGTTTCTGGACACAGTGGTGCTCTGGTACAAGGGACGAAGATAAACCAGACTTTGAATACACACACATACATTGTTAGGTTGGATTTGGGCTTTTTTCATGGGACAGTAAAAGAAATGTACATGATTTGGCCCCGTTTATCTCTCTGGTATATTTTAGGACATTGTACTTAAGGTAATTATCAAAGGCTGGTGATTTTGCTCATTAATTGCTGATTAATCAAATAGTCATTTCAGCTAAAATGTCGTTTGGCAGCTGAAAAAAAAAAAGCACAGTAATCGTAGATTGTTAGTCAGTAAAATGACCTTGGTACACACCCAGTGTAAAAACAGAAAGGTAAAATCCTGGTGGATATGAATATGTGACACAGTGTAATTAATATAAACATAAGCATAAGACAGGAGTCAACTGTTAGAACAGTGTAGGAAAAAAAAATCTCTTTTTCTTTTCATGAAAAATGCTTAAAGAGCAAATCAGAGGCTTTTGGCAATTAGATTTATTTAAGAAGGTCAGAAGATCTGCCAGTCAGAGAGGAACACTGAAGTCTAAATGAACGGGATCTGACTGGGACACCTCGACACGTCCGCCGACCTATAAAGTCTCTGTGGTTACCGCTCACATAATCAGCTGAGGCAGTGTCACTCCTTTGTGTCCTGAGAGGAGAAAGAGCCCTTTTTGTCAGTGCACAAGGCCACTTATGACAGCAGTGCACGGCAGTCTGAGCAGAGGACGCTGCTGACAGGGCGGCATTCTTCTTGGCTGCTGACAGCTTGGTGGTTTGGTTGGATGTGTGTGTGTGTAGGGAGGTGGAGGACAGCAGTGCACTTTGTATTCCTATGGCCCCCCCCCCAGCTTACTCAGTCATTTGTCCTTAGGCCGCGGCCCAAATTACTTGCTGCAATTGGCCTGTAATGGCATAAAGACTGAGGACTGGACAGGGCATCAATCACAAGAACATGGCGCAGCTGACCTCTGGAGGCGGGGGGGTTGAGTCACTGAGAAGGACAGCAGAGATGCAAAAGCACTGTACGCTGACAGTATCAAGACAGGTGGGATGGCAAGAGAGGACTGGGCAGAGAGAGAGAGAGAGAGAGAGAAGAGAGTGAAATGAGTAACAAGGCAGTAATCAGGCCTTCAGACAGACAGGAAGCCTCTCACTGTGTGCACCAACACTGCTGGTGTGTGTCTGCGTGGACGGAACTGTGCGGCTGACTTGCTCGTTTATTCCAGGGTTAAAGACAGAATTAAGCCTCAGATTTAGACTTGAATTAGCCAGATTATAAATGTCACTCAGTCTCATCTAAGGTGTAAATACATCAACATATTAATGGAGAGTGATGAGCTGCAGTGTCTTAATGAAGTCGGAGTCTGAATATTCACTCATTTCTAGAATGTCTTGAGTAGAAACTAGAGTTATTAGAGTTATTACTGACTTTTATTTAAACATGTGAAAATCAGATTGGTGATTAATGAAGCAAATGTGTGAAAGTGTTGCTTTGAACCATTCGTGCTGAAGCTAGAGGCGCTTTAAGTCATTTCCCAGCCGAGAACTGGATCAGTGCTGTGATCAGTGTCTTGTAGCAGGTAAAAGACGTTTTGGCATAAACAGTAAAGTTCAGGGATCCACTTAGTAGCTAAACTAAGTCAGCGACACCTTGACTTTCTTCCAAATAACGCACATTTCATTCATAATATTATAAACACAGACCTATAATTTGCACCTTTTTGTTTAGTTTAATAAGATTTTCTTTAGTGTGATTTGTGTGATGAAGGATTTGTGCTATTTAGAATATTTATTCTGTGTTTTATTTGTATATTATTCTTAATAGTTTATATTATTGTTCTCTGCTCGTTATATGCTGATTGTACACATTTTTGACACTTTTTTATATACAGAGTATATTTAAGTTCTGATAACGTTTGTGCAGAATTGTGGTTTTCAAATGCTCTGTTGAAGGATATTGTTACAGTAAAAACATCACTGTGCAAAATTTAGTGTTTTTTTTCCCCTTGGGGGGGGGGTGCTCATTAGGGGGTCTTGCTCATTAGGGGGTCTTGCCCGGGGAGTAATTCATTTTAGAACTGCCACTGACTATGTGTGTTATATTTGCCAGTTTGCCTTCGTTTCCTGGTGATGCTAATGTTTTTTTTTACTGTAGTGCTATAAGCTACACATTCCCATAAATGTACCGATCTGTGTTGGAACAATCAGTGATTGGTTTATTGGACAAACTCCTCGTGTTGCGCCTCTGTGAGCTTCACTTCCTCTTCTTATTCAGGACTTCTCCTTTGAAAGGAATGCAGTTTCTTTGCTTGTATTTACATTTTGGTATTTGTAGTGACCCTAGCAGCTTGTCAATGTGACACTTATTTGTTTGTTTGTTGTATTGAATACTTTGCTTTATGACTATATACTTGCTAAACTAAAGCCACTCCCATCAGCTTCAGCTGCCCTTTGTGTTTAGTGCTACTTAGCAAATGTTAGCATGCCAAAACTCTAAACTGTAAGATGCTAAATGTGGTATCAAGCCAAACATAGCTGCTGAAAATGGTCAGTGTTCCACCTGCCATCAGTATGTCACCATGCTGGTGTTGGCGTTCGGCCCAAAGCGCTGCAGCGCCTGAGCGGTGCCTCACATTGTGACTGTAGACGTGTCGTTTTGTTGCTGTAAGTTATTTTAACATGTGTAAAATGTATAGATTTATGTTGAGGAGCTGGAGTTTGATTAGTTTTCATACGTAACTCAATTAAATAGAAGTGGAGTTTGTCAAAGCATGTGTGTGGCAGAACTGCGATGGTGGCAGTGTGT